CAGGAATGATTAAAATAAAGTAAGGTATGCATACATGTATCTCTGATCGACATGACGACATCAAATTACTATCAATTTATAATTTATATACTTTGCAACTTTTCAAATTCAAAATTTGCTTAACATTCATCAACTATTATCATTGTTATCAAGATATGTTTGTTTATCTCCTCATAAATATTTTATTATACATATTAAAGGCACGCACTCTATGCTGTCAACGCTGTGCTCGTCTTTTCGCTTTATTACCAACTTGATCATTTTTATTTGTTTATGAATTGATTGCACTTCACAGTTTATAACAATTGCCAGCGTTCATTCAAATGAAAGATGTTTACCATGTTTTATTTCCTTATCACTTCTTTATTTTCCTCCATGCTATAATCATCATGATGATTTTTGACAACAGCCATCATGTTATTATCGACCCTATTACCATCATCAGATTCATCATCACCATCGTCATTTTCATCGTCATCGTCGTCAACAATATCAACCTCGTCACCACCACCACCACCAACAACAACATAAACATCCCCATCACATCACCACCACCGTCCTACCACCATTCTCATTTCAGAGCCTCACCTACACGAAGCTCTCTACGTACTCATCTTCTTCATGTTCCTCACTCTCCTCGGAATCTTCATCTTCTGGTTCTACCTCAGACTAAAACGGAAATCCCCAACTTGGAAATCTCAGAAACCTCTATTATTATCCGGCGGGTTTTCCGAAATCACTTCAAATAGTTCCAACCTATCCAACACCGAATACAACTACTTCAACCTAACGATCAACAATCACGAAAGACTCAGCAGTGACAGCAAAGGAAGCTGCTTCGATGGCTCCTTACTTTGTGGCGCCAATTTGAACCGACATTTCAAAGATATTTACAGAATCGGTGGCGACAATAACACACCAAGCGATCGCTTCTTCAGCGCCAGTAACGGAAGTAGTAGTGGCAGTAACATTATAAAGAGTAACGCTAGTAACCACAGTATCAGCTACGAAAAGTACTACACAGTTTCTGACAACAACAACAATAACAACAACAACAACAGTAATTTTATTAGTAATAACAAATGTGTTAACAATAATTGCTACAATAACATAAAGACATTGAAGAGTTGTAAAAATTTATTCAAAAATGGTTTTATACAAACAATCAGGTTAGCTAGAAAAAGTCAAAAAAACAACACAAACAATTGTTCCAGTCAACATCAATCACATAATCACAACAACAACATCAGCAGCTGCCACAGCAACCACAGCATACACAAAAACAAAACAAACAACAACATCAGTAGTTCAAACACTACTGCAGCTAACAACTGTCCTGCAAATTGTTATGGGTTGAGGATCGTTCAGATGGGAGACAGCACGATGAAGGTCGGTTTGTCATTTTCAAAAATTTGTTTGACCATCGTCGTCGTCGTCATTGTCGCCATCTTTGACGATGACTAGAGATTTTAATTTTCACTTTCCTTAATACGATAATCAACGTCGTCATCATCATTTTCATCGTAATCATCATTCTCATTATCGTCCTCATCATCACTTCTACCATCGCCATATTTTCCAAACCGACATCGGTTCAAGCGCTTTGACGCCTTTTATTTTTTTTGCCTACTCAAACATATCCGGTTGCTCTTTTTCTTCTTACAAATACCTTCACTAACCTAAAATATCCTACAAGTTACTCAAAATACACCTGAAAAATTTCCAAATAGCTTCGAATGAAAAACCTACAAACATCTGCCAGTACAGTATGCACGTATGTGGAGAGTACGCGCATGTTAATATGTGCTGCACACGAGATGATGTGTTTGTTTGTCTCGGTCCGTGTGGTTAAACATGAACTGAACATACTTTTACACAAACGCACGCACACAGAAAAAAAAAGAAAAGTAAAAAGAGAGAGAGGAGAAAGAGAGAGACTAGAAGAAAAAGAAGTCAAAAAGATGAAAACCAAAAAGAAAGAAAGAAAAGAGAGAGAGTTAGAAAGGGAACGATAGAGAGAGAGAGAGAGAGAGAGAGAGAGAGAGAGAGAGAGAGAGAGAGAAAGAGAAGAACGAGAGAGAATAGATACGTGATAGGCATGCGTATGTAACCCAAGATTACGCAAGTATTCCATTGCATTTGTTTCAGTACTCTTTCAATTAATCTCATTTGCAAGTTTTTTTTTGTGCACACTCATTTAGGCATTCTTTTGTTTGCTTTTTTCCATTTATTATTTCATCCATCTATTGTTATATTCATCCATTTTATATCTCCATCCATCTTCCAAGTCATTTAGTTTTTAATTAATAATTATAATATAATTATGCTATAGTTCGTTGTTTATCAGTATATTTGGTATGACCATCTAGTTAGTCATTGTTCAAATCACCAGTCTAATAATAAATCTAGATACAGATCTACACATCAGTACATTTACGTGCAAATTATTCTTTCATTCCATCCATCAATCCATCTATTAATCCATCCTTCCATTTATCCATCCATCAATCCAATCGTTCATCAATTGATCAATCTATCTAATCATCCGCTCATTCATCAATCTATCCATTCATTAGTCCATTTATCAACCTATCCATCATACTTTCCATCCATCTATCCATCCATTCATCCATCTATCAAATCATTCATTCGTTCAATTTATCCAATCCAGTTAACCATTCAATCAATTATTTCCAAAAACTGCAGCCTGCCTGCCAGCCAGCTGGCTCGCGTACTTATCTACAGAATGTTAAGTAGATGGGAAACATTGTATTTCAATTTAACTGTTGCACACAGATTTAATCATACACATACAACCATAAAAATACCTAAGCAAATGTGTATACCCAGTGTGTGGATATGTATCGTACGTTGCACACACGCACATACACAAACACACACATACACACACAAACACACACACAAAACACGTTTATATACACACGTACACATACATACATTGTATAAACAATATAAGATAGGCATTTGACTTGAGAGTTGAAATAAAAGTCAAATTACACCTACTTACCATTTACAAGCCATTGTGCCAAATTCCAAATAATCATAGTAATAATAAAAATATTAATATAAACTACAATAATATTATTAATAATAATAATATTGATAATAAAATAAATGTAAATAAAAAATAATAACAATGATAATAAAGCGATAAAAATTAATCACTCGAACGATTATATCAGTTTTACAATAACACACTTATCAGCGTCTATCACCCTTGATGATAAGTGTTAGATGTATCTTTCTCTTACACAAACACACGCACACACACAAACACACACACACACAAGCAAACACACACACACACAAACACTTACGTACACACGCACACATACAAGTGTAGGCTTGCATATACGTGCTCACAAACATGAATATAAATTATTAATATAGAATTACTAAAACTTTGCAATAAATTGAATTGACTACCCTACTGGCAGGGTCTGATTGATCAAACGAGCACTTCCGGTAGTGGGTCAGGGGCACCACTCCTCGCCCAAAGAACCGTTTCCAGGTCCATCCAGCTTGTTGAAGTTATAGGTGGGTCGTGTTTGAAGGGGTTTGAAGGATCGCATTGATGGTTGACGATTATAATGCTATGCTAATTTGTGCTCACTTCATGTAGCGTATGATATTTTTTCCTTTCGGAGTCGCATTTTGACAGCTTGATTGCTTGAAATTATTTTGTTAGCAGAAAGTTTTTATTAAACAGCACAAAAGAATTAAATAATTTAAATAGTTTTAACAAAGTGTTGAATTTTATTTATAAATTGTTTCATCAAACTTCACTTATTTTTGCCCAACCACCCACCAAACCATTCAACCAACCAATTAACCAACCAACCAACCAACCATCCAACCAACCAACCAACCAGCAAAAGGAAAGTATGGTTACGTATGGCATGGACTCTACCAAGAGGAACCAGTTGCAGTGAAAATCTTTAGCTCGCACGCGGAGAATGCCTGGCAGAGGGAGTGCAACATCTACAACACGACCCTGCTGAGACACGAGAACGTGCTGGCCTTCCTCGGGGCAGATACTGTCTCCAGGGTTCAGTCGTGCACCCAACTTTGGTTGATCACGAGGTACCACGAGTTAGGCTCGCTGTACGATTATTTGAATAAGAATCAACTGAGCAGGTTGGTTCTAAGGTGTTCTTTGTCGTCTTAACGTATCACCAAGTACATAAACACCAACAACACTGCAGACAACAGCTCTTACGGCTGCTGACGTCTGCGGCATCGGGTCTGGTGCACCTACACACAAACATAGTGGGCACGCACGGCAAACCCGGGATAGCCCACAGAGATGTGAAGTCGAAGAACATTCTTGTGATGGATGACGGCAGCTGTTGCATTGCTGATCTGGGATTGGCTGTTGTTGAAACCATGTTTGATGGTTGGTTTATTGATTGTTCATCGGATTCATTCATTTAAATTTGTTTGTGGTTAGAGTTAACATTTTTAAACCATTTAATGTTGTTTTTGACGCCGCACACCATCCATTAAAATGCGTCGTTTCGAATTTATTTGCTGCGTTAATGCTGTTCTCAAGTATGTGCTATATATACGTCGGTTACAACATAAAATGAAATTTATTACCGGTAGGCAGCTGAACATCATGAATTTTATTGCACTTGTAACTTTCACAAATCTGAAGATGAAGATCAATCTGCAGTTTTTGAATTTTGAAAAATGTCATTCACACTGTTTTTACTTTTTAGCACTCTATATATTAAGGTAGTGTTGCAAAATCAGTATCTATAAAATTTTTATTTTTAACAAATCTTCCATCTTCAAGATTCCAATTGCGGCAACAATTCAACAAGTCAACAGAATAGCAAACAACAACATCAACAACCACATCAACATCGGCATCGCAACATGTTGGGTGTAGATGACTACAACATAAAAGTTGGTACGAGAAGGTATATGTCTCCAGAAGTTCTGGATGGCTCCATCGACTGTGAAAGATTTGATTCCTTCAAGAAGTCCGATGTTTACTCGTTCGCTCTGGTTATGTGGGAGACTGCTAGAAGATGTTGTGTTGATGGTTTGTATTGTTATTTGTTTGTTGTTTGTGTTGTTGCTTAGTTGTTTGTGCTGATTGTTTTGTTATGTTGTTGTTTATATTGTTGTTTGTTACCATTGCGTGTTATGTTACGCTGCTAACATGTAATTTTTTCTCACACTCTCAGACAAATGTGAGGATTACGAGCTTCCGTACAACAACATGGTTCCAAGCGATCCAACTCTGGACGAGATGTTGTTCGTCGTCTGCACATCAGGGTTCAGACCGGCCATACCGAAAAGATGGAAGACAGATACGGTTTGTATTCGTTCCGTCGAGTTAACCGATTCTATCGTTGCTACTAACTTTAAATTTAATCGATTTTATCAATATAATGATAGTACGTAGAAATTTCAATATTGAATATCTTGCATATTCATTGAACTTTTTTGAAATTAACATTCCATTTATGTACATTCTAAAATGTGATCGCCTTACACGCCCGTGTACATTACAACTGCAATTGGACGCTTCACTGAAACTTACCATCCACTTCCATGTTATTTAGCATGAAAGCTGTTTATGTTATTTTCCTAGATTGGATGAGGTTTACGGGCTTGTTTATAATTCACACAGCAGATTTTAAACTTTAGCATTTGCTGGCGGATGGAGATAAATTAACAAGAGCAATTAACATAAACATTAACTCAACCATAATCATAAACATTAACCATGAACATACGATATTTACGATCACCGAAACAGATTTTGAAAGCAATAAGCAGTCTGATAGGAGAATGTTGGAGCTACAAACCGGACGGAAGACTTTCAATGTTACGAATTAAAAAATCACTCATAAAACTTAACCAACATCTCGACGATGAAGCTGCTACAGCTGCTCTCCTTGCTGGCAAAACAAACCCAACAGCGAAAAATGTTGTTGCGGTGAATCAAAACAACCCACAGACCGTAGAACCTATTTTAAACTGTTGAAAATTTATGAAAAAAAACTCGTTAAAATTCATTCAAGTTTTAAACTACGATGAAAATTTCATTCGAACGACCGCCTTATTAGAATAATACCAGACCCAGCATCACTTTCAGATGTTGTTATTAGAATTTGGCATTATTATTATTAATATCTAATTTCTTATTTATTTATTTATTCATTTATTTACTTATTTACCTACTTTCATTTTGGTCATTGTAAAGCTATTATTATTATTATTGTTGTTGTTACCATTTTGTAAAATCTCAAAGTGTCTTTAGTTTGAATGAACAAAAAAATGTCTTCATTTATTAATTTACTCGACAGAGGTTTTTTTAATAAATAAACCAACAAGAAAAATTAATGAAAATGTATTTATAATTAAAATTACAAATTAAAACAATCTGTTCGATTTGTTGTTCGTAGAGTATTACAAAGCAATCCAATCAACCAACCAACCAAAGAATCTATCCATCAGTTAATTGACCGATTAATTATTAATCCAATCTATAACAGAATCAATCACTTGATCAACTTTCAACGTAAGAACAACAACAAAAAACTCAACGCATTTCACTAAGTATTTGCATCATCACCTTTTACGCAAGCCAGCAACAAAAAAACACAATAACAACAATAATGATAGTAACAGAGAAACATCAAAAACCACAACAAAACACACATCAACAACACACACCAACAACAACACATCTGCGCATTACAGACGACAATTTATTCGAGTCATTAATTATTACATAACAAGATAACTTAAATTTGTCTCATGCAGAAGCTAACAGTTACAATTTCTAAGTAGTAGTATTATTATCTCACTACAATTTCAATAAATGTTACTACAATACAATACAATATCATAAAATCAAAATCATAATCAATTGGAAAAATATAAAATTCCGATAAGCGTTTGTCGATATTTTGTCTTTAAACCAATTGACACTACCTCCTAACAAAAAATAAACACACATTTATATGAATTTAAATTAAATAAAAATGAAAAAGCAAGCTATCAAATATATTTAAATATAAAAACATATTTAGATATATATGTAATAAATCAGAATTTTCGGAACAAGTCACACACACACAACACAGACACACAAACTTCACACACACAGATACACAACACACACACACACACACACACACACACACACACACACACACACACACACACACACACACACACACTCAAACTTAGGTGGAACTTTTAATTTCAGGAAATAAATCAATAACAACAATTGTATATACAAACCCCTCTCTTTTCTCTCTCTCTTTCTCTCCATCTTATATATATATATATATATATATATCTTATATATATATATATATATATATATTATATATATATATAACAGCGTTTGTTATTTTTAATATGTGCGTATTTATTCATAAACAAAAAACCACAAAACAATACATAAATCATAATGCACAAAATATAGAAAAAAATATAATAATACAAAGAAGAACAAAATAACAAGAGTTGAGTTAGTTCCATTATTAACATCATTATCATCATTATCATCATACGAATGATGACGACGATGATGATAATATTATCATCGTCGTCGTCATCATTCGTATCATTAACATGTAACAAAACAGTATTATAAAGATAATTTGATTATGAGAACAAACGAACGAACAAATGAACAAACAAACAAACAAACGTATATAATTTTTTTTATACATACAAAGATCGCATGTCATTGAACGAAAATTCAAAAAAAAACTCGATTAGCTAAAGAGAAACAAAAAAAAACATGAAAATGTCATTCACATTGTACAGTGTATACATCTACATACATTTTATTAGGGCATCACATACACAAACACACACACACACGCACACAAACATACAAACACACACACATATAAACGCATCAATATATATATATATATATATATATATATATATATATACATGTATATATGTCTATTATTGTCAACATCACAGCTATCAACAGTGATTATGATTCAATTTGATAAAGCCTTTGAAAGAAAATAAAGAAATAAGCGGAAAAAAGTGGAAAAATGATAAAAAAAAAACAAACAAGAATAGGAATAATAAGAAATAAACAGAAAAAAAACAATTAATATTATTTATTTATAGTTAAATACATTGAAATGTAACAATATTAAGTAAGGAAATATGATTGTAAATGCAATTGTCTTTGTAATAAATATAACTGAGGCGTACTAGAGTATTCATATCTAACTACTCACCCGTCAATCAATCAATCAATCAATCAATCAATCAATCAATCAATCAATCAATCAATCAATCAATCAATCAATCAATCAATCAATCAATCAATCAAACAACCAACCAAATCAATCAATCAACCAAATCAATCAATCAACCAATCAATAAATCCAATTACTCTAATCTATCGATCCAATATTCATTAGAATTATCCATTCATATTTCCATCGACAAATCAAATAATTCATCAACGACAGAATCATACATTCACTCATTAATTCACTCATTAATTCATTCATTAATTCACTCATTAATTCACTCATTAATTCACTCACTCACTCACTCACTCACTCACTCACTCACTCACCCACTCACTCACTCACTCACTCACTCACTCACTCACTCACTCACTCGCACACTCATTAATTCATTCACTAACTCCCTCACTCAATAATTCACTCACTAACTACTCATCCTTCTCAAGTACAAAATTAAGCCTGATGACTCTCAGTTGTGACCCATAATCGCAGACAATATGACCTGCCTGGCAGACGAACAGTTGTCTGATAAAGACGGAAGAGGGCTCTTCACTCAGGGGCATTCTTCGGAGGACCACCTCCTTATCCACGTCCCACAGGTAGAGGCAGCCCTACAAAATAGATTAAGAACGTAATGACGTAGTAGTAGTGTAGTGGTTAAGACGCCTAGAAATGCTTTTGCAGTGACGGGATTCGAACGCAAACAGATTCCACACACACACACACACACGAACACACGTACCAGTCCCCCAGTAAGGATGAGTTGATGGGATAAAACTGCCAACGTGTTGCTACATCCAGGATCCTATTCACGGATTGGGAGGATAAATAGATTGATTGATGAATGGATGGAGAGATGGATGGATGAATGAATGGATAGATAGACGAGTGAAATATTTGATGGATAAATTATCAGATGAACAAACAGATGGAATGAAGGAAAAAGTTTAAAATTAAAAAATAAAGGAATTGAATAATGAGCCATAACCAAACCAGTCAATCAATCAACCAACCAACCAACCAACTAACCAACCAATCAATCAATCAACCAACCAACCAACCAACAAACCAACCAACCATTTGAATACAATGCAGGAGATGACCTCTTCGCGTATCCCAGATACACAACCTGTCGTCCAACGCAACACTGAACAACCTGCATCATCACCAATCACCATCGTCATCATCATCGTCGTCGACGTCATCATCAACAACAACAATATAATGGTGACGACGAAGATATCAATGATGAATGACAACAGGAGAAATAATTATAACGATGATGAAAATGATAACTGATGACATACACGTGCATGTAATGATACACGATGATACAAACATACATACAATAACATAGATATACAGTGATAGGTAGCAATAACAACAACAGCAACGATGACTGCAGCGATAACAACCGTATGACATCATCGGCTTCACCGGAGTTGTTGTAATGATTGTTATCGTAGGTAACGCAGGTTATAGTCCCTTCATGACCAATGAGCTTATGAAGGCATGAACCTATGTGATGTGATGATGAAGACGAAGATGATGGCGGTCAATGAATTAATGAATCAATGAATTAATGAATCAATGAATTAATAAATCAATCAATCAGATATATTCAATTCATATAGCGTACATTTCTACAATTCAATGACACTCTAGCCAAGCTATCAAAATAAAGTGTTCCCAACTAATTAAATAAAAAAAAAGTAAGTTAATTAAAAATAATAAAAGTGCAAATGAGGTGAGAATGACTGAATGATGACGACGATGATTACAAAACTACGGCTGGGCAATAGAAATATGATGAAGTTATCTATCATCTGTCCATCTTACAACCTGTCTGTAGAGACCAGAGTCTCAGTGAACAGTCGTCAGATCCTGTTATCGCTAACTTGTCGTCCTGTTGTTTGTGTTGTGGTTGTTGTTGTGGATGTTGTTTGTGTTGTTGATGATGCTGCTGCGGTTGTTGTTGTGGATGTTGTTTGTGTTGTTGATGATGCTGCTGCGGTTGTTGTTGTGGATGTTGTTTGTGTTGTTGATGATGCTGCTGCGGTTGTTGTTGTGGATGTTGTTTGTGTTGTTGATGATGCTGCTGCGGTTGTTGTTGTGGATGTTGTTTGTGTTGTTGATGATGCTGCTGCGGTTGTTGTTGTGGATGTTGTTTGTGTTGTTGATGATGCTGCTGCGGTTGTTTTGGGTGTAATTGTTGTTATTGTTGTTATTTTTCTAATACAAAACACACGTAAAAGAATGCGTTTCACACTTACAAACGAATGAATGAATGAAAAAAATAGCAAACCGTATGAACCAAACACAGACAAACAAGCAAGCAAACAAACAAGCAAACAAACAAACAAACAGCATGCGAACAAACATCACCTTATCAACCAGAAGTGTAGTGACACACGCCTCATGGCCTATCAAAGTGTACAGGCAGGAATGGTCGGCTAACTTGTGGACCTGAATCAAAGGAGAGATATGATCGGATGATGGCTGTAAATGGAAAATAGACATACTCCATGGATATATATATATACATAGTTCTAACATTTTCAAATGCAACTTTTCACCATTCTTTCTATCCTTCATTCATTTATTCATTCCATCATTCAATCAAATGATCAATTAATGATTCATTTGTTTGCGTATTCGATCAGCAACAATTCACTCCTTAACCCACTACAATAATAATCATTCCTCCATTCAATCCATCATATCTTCATTCAATTATTCCATCGTTCGTTCATTCCTTCATTCAATCATTCCATCATTTTTTACTTCCATTTCTTCATTCATTCATTCATTCATTCATTCATTCATTCATTCATTCATTCATTCATTCATTCATTCATTCATTCATTCATTCAATCATTCCATCATACTTTCCTCCATACACTTATTCCATTATTCATCCGCTCAATTCTTCACTCGTTCTCAGAACCTTGACGATAAAATCCTGGCCGGCTGACAAGACGAGGGCACCGTCAGATTGGATGCAGTTGATGGTCAGCTGGTGAGCCCTGGTTGACCACAAGTGTGTGCACTGGAAACTCTTCTGGCCATCTGAATGGGTGGGTGAGCAATCGATTCAAATTAAGTGATCGATTGATCAATTGATCAATTGATCAATCGATCAATCAATCAATCAATCAATCAATCAATCAATCAATCAATCAATCAATCAATCAATCAATCAATCAATCAATCAATCAATCAATCAATCAATCAATCAATCAATCAATCAATCCATTAATCAATCAATCAATCAATCAATCACTCCATTAATCAATCAATCAATTAACAACCGGCCAACCACCTAAATGTAACTGTCCCATATACGAGATCATCCATTTAATTTGATAAAAATCTATTGTACCGTCCACTCCACCTGCCACCAATCTGTTTTGTTGGTTGATTGGTGGGTTGATTGATTGATTGATTGAATGATTGATGGACTGACAATTAGATAATATATTATTGGCAGATTGGTGAATTGATTTAAAACTGATTGGCCTATTGATAGATTGAATAAATGAGTGATTGAATGATAGATTGATTGAATGAATAATTGATTGAATGATAGATTGATTGAATGAATGAGTGATTGAATGATAGATTGGTTGATCAAATGATTGATTAATTGATTAGATAACTTAGACAGAAACAACACAAGAAGCGTAATAACGAACCTATCATCAACAAGGCAGAGAGCTGTTATACCATTATTTTTATTCCTCTTATTAACATTGTTGTTGTTGTTAATGTTATTAAAGATGTTGTTGTTGCTGCCATTATCAAAGCGCAAAGAATTAGTGTTGTTGATGACACTTTTGTTGTTGTTGTCATGACTGAAGCAGCCAAGCAGCGAACTGGTTTGAATGTCCCAAAACTAGTTTCACGTGTTTTTTTGAATGTTTTAGTAGGTTAAACTTCAAAACAAGTGCACCACCGATTGGTGCCAAACTAGGAAACTACATCAAATGTTACTCTATCAACATCGTCGTTATCATTCCCATCCTCATTATAGCATTCGTGATAAACAAGACAAACGAAATTTCAAAATATGAAAAACAACAAAATCACACGCTGCGTATCAATAGTAACAACGCCAAACAACAGCACCACCACCAAACAACACCATCACCACTAAACAACAACCAGCCCCAACAAAAACCTCAATATCTCCAGACCCGCAGCCGAGAACGATGAGATTGGACTTGAAGGCCATACACCAGATGGCAGACCCCAGCGTGAATTCTTCATCATCTACCACAACTTCATCTATAGAATAAAATCAACCCTTACATAAAAAATTAAAACAACAGCAACAACAACAGCAGCAACAACAATAATGTAAAGAATTAGAACAGCAACAAAACCACAAAACTAACAAAAAATATGATTAAGTAGAGAAGACCAGTACATAATAAAGACCCACAGACACACAGATAAAAACAATTGAAAAAATGAAACGCTTGAAACTGTGACAAAAATAAACAACAGCAACAAAGTTATAAAACTGAAGAAGGTTTGTAGATTTTAAAAAATTAACTAACTGGAGCTTGAGTACCAGAAAAAATGACTTAAGTATTTAAGAGAGCCACAAAATCATGAACATAGACACCAACTAAAAAACCACCAAACACAAAGATGAAAAGATTAGAACAGCAAATCAAATCATGAACATAGACAACAACTAAAAAACCACAAAAACCCAAAGATGAAAAGATTAGAACAGCAAATCAACCCTACAACCTTTTTTCTGACTCCTAGCATGCAGACACTTATCTCTCTTCCTCTTCCTCAACGTCACTATCTTCTGCCTTTGCTTGCCCGATTCGTAAATGGCTCGTTGCTCGTCAAAGTATGGTTGAAATTGCGTAAAATCAAAGCCGCAATTACTTTTATTATTGTTATTATTATTATTATTATTACTATTATTATTACTTTTACTATCGCTATTATTAACATTGTTAAGACCACTACTACTACTGTGTACGACAGTATTAGAGTCTATGTTATTATTATTGTTATTATTTATATTATTATTATTATCATTATTGTTATTGTTCTTATAACTGTAATTATTATTATTATTATTATTATTATTATTATTATTATTATTATTATTGATACTGGAGTTGTTAGCTATACTACAGCTAATTCTGCTGTTTCTATCAGACGATATGTAACTGATAAGAGTGTTTGAAGTGAGTATGTTATCATTTGATGCGGCCTCATCATGTTTGTGATTGATACAGTCGTCATCGTCGTCGTCGTCGTCTATGTTGACAGGGTACCGGAATATAGATGATGTCCTGTTGCTGTTGTTGTTGATGGTGTTGTTGGTGTTATTGTTAATTTTGATGTTGTCGTTTTTAATGGTGTTGCTGCTGTTGTTGTTTATGTTAATGCTATTGATGTTCTCGTTGTTATCTGCGTTGGTTCCGTTGTTAATGTAGTCGCAGTTGTTGTTGTTGTTGTTCTTACTTTTATTTAACCTATTTGAAGGGAATAGAGCGTTCATGTGATGAACTTGTTTGTTATTTTAAAAAAGAGAAACAGATCTTAAGGCACTAAACGATGAACGAAGAACATGAAATCACAAAAATTAACCAATAAAACCTATTTAAATACCAACAGCCTAATGTGAAATGAGAAAAGAATCATTAAAAAAAGGGTCCAAAAAGTTATAAATAGCAACTAATTACAACGCGACCTTGCCCTTCTCAGGAAATCAGTGTCAATGGTCTCAGTGAGGTCTGGAATGATAGAGGCCAAGGTCGCATCAACCACCCTGTGCCTGGAGTGCTGCTGATGTTGATGACGTTTTTCATGTTTGGAAGAATGTTTGCTATCGCAGAAGAAGTTGTCGATAGCTGAGAGGTCAAACGATGGTGTCGTTGGTAGCAGTGAGGGCGATTTTTGTTGCTGCTGTTTTTGTTCTTGTTGATGATGATGATGGTGGTGGTGGTTTAGTTGTTGTTGATGATCATGATGGTGTTGCTTATATAAACTGTCTGCATGATTGTGATTGTTGTGTGGGAGATGTTCATAGCCCTCAAATGATGAATGTTGTTTTGTTGCCGCTGAGAGTGGGGTTAAAGGTGACGGCTGTGGCGAAGACAACAACGACAGCGATGATGATAACGATGGAGGAGGTGATGACGACGACGACGATGATGACGTCAAATGCTTTCTCTGTCTGACGGCCAGTTCAGGTCTACATTGCGCTCGACTTGAAGGAAGGATTGAAAGTAATTTCTCATTCTTTCATTAATTAATTCATTCATTCATTCGTCTGCCCATCCATTCATTCTTTATGAATCTATTTCAATTATTCTTCAAAGATAGCGACATGATCACGCACAGTCTATGTCAATACCCTAGAATCCATGCATTACACAGATTGCATTGGATAGGGAAGAATAACTTTGCGTTCGAAGTTAGTCACTGCAACAGCTGGAACAGACACCTTAACCATTACACCACCACTTGGCCGCCCATATATTTTAAATTATCTTTTTAAGCCCAACTATAATCCCAACTTCATCATTAGTGATTCACAGTCAGCAGCAACACCAAAAACATAAAAAAAACCAACCGCTGTCTGGTAACGACGGATATGCACTCTCCGGTTTCCGAGTCCCACACACGCACCTCCCCTCCCAAACAGGAACTGGCTATCAGACGACCGTCGGTACATATGCATTCAACTTCCTGTGTAGCATTCAAATGTATCGGCGTGTGTTGTTTTTTTTAGTTTAGTTCTTTTAACGTAAGGTTGTAAAATCATTCAATAATTTAAGTTGCCTGTACCAATCATTTAATCAATCCTTCCTTCATGACCTGCTTACCTACACACTGGCCTACATATGAAAAAAAATGTCTACTGACTTGAGTATTTTTGCTGATATTATACGTTTGAGTGATGCTGATTCCAAATTTAAGATTAGGAACAATTACGTAAACTAATGTTATTCATCATGTTTATTCATTCCTTTATTTATTCCTTCATTCATCCATCCATCCACTGACTGACGGACTGCAGAAACAGACTGACCTGGCGATGACCACGAAGAAGCAACGGTCTGGCCTCTCTGATCTGCTTGTAGTACTTGTTGTGCTGGTCCCTCCCATCTGCTGATGCATGTCTGCTGCTCCACGACGATCTCCAACTTGCGTATCTGATGGTAGTCAGGTGCGTACGCATAAATACGTTAGCGTACATACATTCATACAAATATGCATGCATGCATACATACATACGTACATACATATACATTGTGTACACACACACACACAAACAACCTTCGTGGACAGAAACAGTCATAGAGCATGAACAAGCAACAGGACAACAGAACCACACTGAAGAGACCCAGGAATGTACTGAGTACGAATTCTAAGGTACTTCTTGGGTATCGAATCTGTATTATTATTATTATTATTGTTGTTGTATTTTATTACCCATTGTTATTAATATTATATATTTTATTATTTATTTATCATTCATTAATTTTATTAAACAAACAATTTTCATTTAATTTCATTTATAATTAGATAAAATAATTTTGTCGCCAAGCCAGCCAATTAACTCGCCAATTTGTTGATGAACTTGAAGAGGGAACTATCCTGATAATGATACCGCTGCGCTGGTGATGATGATGATGCGTTACCATCTTTAAAATCTTTCGACAACATTTGTTTTTGTTGTTGTTGTTGAATGAGGGATGGGCCACCAATGGATAAATGAATGCTTGGAAGTATGGTGAGGTACCTAATGGCAGAATACTTTAGTATATAAATGCATATAAAACATGGGAACGAGCGGATTTTATTGCTTACTGGGGCATATCAACATTAACAAAAATGACAACAATTATTACGGCCCAAAAACATGGCAACAGCATATCACAATAAAACAACACAAACAACAATACAGACAACAACACAGACAACCACGCAAACAACAACACAAACAACAACACAGACAGCCACACAAACAACAACACAGACAACAACACAGACAACAACACAGACAACCACACAGACAACAACACAAACAATCACACAGACAAGGAATAAAAACACAACCAACCTTCCCATGAGGCTGATGTTATAGCAACTGTACAAATTCTCCCAATGATTATATGGCAACTGTTTCCATAGCTCCAAATCATTATGCTCCATGTACGACGACGAAGATAATAATGACGAAGATGATGATGAAGAAGACGACGACGATGATCTAAATGGCGAATCTATAAATGACCTTTTGTTGCTCTGTAAGTAAGTGATGTTTTTGTTGCTGCTACTGAGTTTACTGCTATAAAACAACTTTGGTAGTTCAAACGAGGAATCTTCCATATTGGCTGTATCTTTGTTTGAGACAAATGATGATGCTGATGAGGAGGAAGATGATGATGAAGACGACGATGGTGATGAGTGTTCGTCATCCATTATCGTTGTCTTGAAGACCACGAGAGCTATCCATATGATGATGAAAACCTGACCAAGTTAAGCAGTGTGATTAGTACTCAGTCAAATATTCAATCAAAAATCAATCAATCAATTAACCAACTGATTATTCATTTATTCACTCAATCAACAAACATTACATTTGATAAAATTAAGATAAATGGATAAATCGTTGTAATCAAAATGAACAAATGAATGAATGAAAGAATGAATGAATAAATGAAAGAATGAATAAACGAGTACCATGATAGCTCTCTGCAGTATCCGATACCTGGCCCACACATGGAGCAGTCTCACTCGTTTTGATACTTTCTCTCCATCACTATCATACAGATAACCATCATCGTCGTCATCGTCGCAACTATTACCTTTGTTGCCTTTGTTTATATTGTTGTTGTTGTTGTTGTAGTTGTGGCTTTTTGTGGTCCTGTTGTAGAGGTACCACAGCGTAGAAAATGGTGATGATGCTGGTGGTGGCGGTTGAAGTGATGACGACGACGACGATGAAATGCGCTGTTGTGACAACTTTGACAAACCTGCCAAATAAGATAAGACGATCAAGGGAGGTTCTGAGTTCACTCTAGTCTAGAACATTCAGCCTTACAGATTAAACAGCAGCAAATGCAAGCCCAAAAAAGCCAACGAAGTAATAAAAATGAAAAACTACAGCCAAACGTTTTAAAATAAATGTAATATTAAAGTACCTAGTTCTTGAATATGATGGTCTTTATACGTGCATTGCGTGTTGTTATTGTTGTTGGTGGGGTTACTGGTGTTGTTGTTTATGTTGTTGCTGCTGCTTGTTCGTCGTTGGCGCTCCAATGCTGAATGATGCCTCTGAAGATCTGATAGCTGTTTTTGTTGTCGAAATGTGTGTGGTGTTAGTTCTGTGTTGTTGTTGTTGATGTTGTTGCTGTTGTTGATTTTAATTTGTTGATGTTGTTGAAATTCTGATGTTGTTGTTATTCATTTGAAGTTGATGTTGTTGTAGTTTTATTCAGTAACCAACCAATGAACTAATTCAATGATGAATCAAAAAATCAATCATACAAACAATGACCTGACCCCTTCATTCATTCATTCATTCATTCATTCATTCATTTATCATTCATTCGTTCGCTCGTTCGTTCGTACCATCAGATATCCAATTAGTCAATCAATCAATCAATCAATCAATCAATCAATCAATCAATCAATCAATCAATCAATCAATCAATCAATCAATCAATCAATCAATCAATCAATCAATCAATCAATCAATCAATCAATCAATCAATCAATCAATCAATCAATCAATCAAACAATCAATCAATCAGTCAATCAATCAATCAATGAAACAACCTCCATTCTCCTAATATCAACAGACAGAACAGTAGTAAAGAAGAACATCTGAAGGAAGAAATCCGATCCCAGACCCAGTATTGCAAACAGGCAGAACTCCTAACATTTTAAATACAAATTTGTGAAAAAATTTACAGAAAAATTCATTTCTTTCCAATCAACAACATAGAACAAAAAACCTGAAACAGAAGAACACCGATGAAAAAACCCCAATAAACCTGAATGGCGGGAACAAAAGTTAAAAACCCGACGGCTAGGATGAAAAATTCAGTTAGAAGATTCTTAAAGATGTACCATCCTTCCTTCTGCAAGCCTGTGTGCGTGTGAGGGTTTGTGCATTCATTCATTCAATCATCCATTCATTTATTAACCCATTTATTCATTCGTTCATTTCTTCGTTCGTTTGTTCATTCATTCATTCATTCACTCATCCATTCGTTCGTTCACAAATTCATTAAATTGGTGTAAATGCATTTTAATAATTTTGAATATAGCAATAATTACATTAACAGTGATGAATGTTATCTCTTTAATTATCTGTCGCATGTAGATTAATGATGACAGATCTATACAAATAACAAGAAGTACAAGTCACGGTCACAAATATATCATATCAGGATCGGTTTTTATATCATTGATGTTAACAACGTAGGACGACTTGATTCAGCAGGGTAGCGGTCAAACAGATGAACTTGTGTAAAATATCAGCAATACACAAACAAACAGACAAACAGACAGACAAACAAACACACACCAACAAACAAACACAACACACACAAACACAGCACAGCACAAAGAACACAGACAGACAGACAGACACCAACCCAAAGCAATTCTCAATTTGACCTCCAGGTGAACAGGCGTACTTACCACGGACTTAGTGATCACCAGAATGTTCTCCAAGCCGATTATCACCACCAAGTATGGAAAGATTTCACTGTTGCGAGATGATAAACTCTTCATCAGTTGCAATAACTACACGCATGTAAACATAAACACACACACACGCACAAGTATAAACACACACACGCAAACATGCAATCAACACACACACAAATATTGAAACTCGAGTGAGATCAAAAGATATGCAATATTGCACACAAAAACACACACACAAACATACACACATACACAGACATTTGCACATACAAACCCCCATTGAAATTAAGTGACCTGCAGACATATAGAGATACAAACAGACAGACAAACAAACAAACACATACCAACATAAAGACAGACATACATACACGCATACAAACCCTCCATTGAGACTGGGAGTGAGGCCGACAGACATACAGAGAGAGACAGACATAAAGAGAGAAGCAACAACGGTCACCATGGCACTTAGGGCTAGCCCCCACTTCGACTTCACCATCTCTATTTTGCCTGCCAGTGTAGATTGTAATAATTACGATGAAAATAATTATATTAATTATAAAATAATTATATTAATTATGAAATAATTATATTAATCATAATGAAAAAACCCCTGAACGAAGACTAACGGACAGAGAAGTAGAGATAAAGACATAAGACGACGTATGCGAATATAAGGGGGGTGTACTCTACAAAGTAGTTGTGCGTCTGGTAATGTATGTGTACCATGTGGTCAACTCTCAAGGTCGGTAACGATGAAGACGATGATGAGGACGATGATGAGGACGACGACGATGATGAAGTATTGTTGTTCTTTATGGGTGCCGAGCTAATAACATTGTGGTATTTCTCATGTAGATCTTTGTTAAGTGAATCGATGAATCTTTTTTGGAAGAAAAATTATATATTAAAAAAAGAATTTTTAAAAATTTCTGGTTAATTTCATCTCGACAATTATTATTTTCGTTAATATCAAGCACTGAAAATTAATTAATGATGATTCATTACGTATTTCAATTGCTTCTGTAATATAATTAGTGAATGAACGAACGAACAAAGAAACACATATAAATGACATTAATAATAATAAAACGAATAAATGAATGAATGACTGATTGATTGATTGAATGAATGAATGAATCAATCAATTAATTAATGAATAAATGAATGAATGAATAAAATAACGAATGAATGAATAAAAGAACGAATGAACGACAATTAAATGAGAGTAGACACAAACTTATAGTTAAACTCTTTAAGGGCAAATGTAAGGACAAACATCACAGGTCTATTGCTATCATTGTAGTGATTGTCATTATTTTTATCATTTCCATCCTTATTATTATTATTATTGTTGTTGTTGTTATTATTATTATATGTCTTTGCGTCTTTGTCTTGCTCTAAGATGTACTTTTTAAAGCCAGGAACACCAAACAAAAATTCTACAGTGTAATTAAATAGAGACCAGGTTATTATTGCGTGTGAATAGTACTAGCAGTAGTAAGTGAAAATAACAATAGGCGAAGTTTAATTAAAATTTTAGGTGAGTTAAAGTGAGTTAGTTAAAGTTAAAGTAATGACAAAGTTAAAGTAAATACCAATAGACAAAGTTTAATTTCCCTACCAATTATGTTCTGATGGTAAATGTCCTTTTTTAAATGTCTGTGGATGCTTTTTATTACATCTTTGTCCTTTAGAAATCTGGTTCGGTGTGAGAAAAAAGAAACAACGCATTTAAGAAAATAACATCGCCATCATCACCTTCATCAACTTCTTCGTCATCATCATCATCATTTTCATCATCACTATCGTCTTCATTATCATCATTCTTAATATAGTTACAATTGATTGTCGTTGTCGTCATCGTCGTCACCAGCATCACCACCATCCCAATCATAATCATCATCGTCGTCATTATCATCATCATTATCATCGTCGTCATCATCATTATCATTACCGATATCATTAGTGTCAAGCTTGTCAGCGGATTTTTAAAGCATGAACTCAGTCTTTGGTTAACTCATTTGATGAGAAGCACATCAACATTAACCATGAAAACTTTGCCATATTAGGATCATCATCACCATCATCATCACTATCATCCTCATAATCGTCGTCGTCGTCATCATTAAACTAATAATAATAATCAAACCAATAAACTTTCAAGTTTAGTCATGCTGTTGGGATAACTGAGACTGCTGTAGTTACCGATATTATCATTTTATCTTTGCTAACATCTCAACCATTCTCATCATCGTCATCATCGCCACAATCATCATCATCATCACCGCCACAATCATCACCATCACCACCACCACCACCACTCACTTATCTCGATCCTGATCCCACAATCTGGCAGGTGAGAGAAACAGGCAGTTATACTGAGGTAGATGAAACGTTCCATCATCCTCATCACCATCGTTATCCTCAACAACGGTATCATCCCCACCACCACCTGTAGATGATGATGACGACGATGACGATGAAAGGGACAAGGTCACTTCAGAAACTCGAAAACACAGGTCAGTCATTGAAAGGATTCTGTTACTGAATGATGGTGAAGATGATGTAGATGGTGAAGACGATGTAGATGGTGAAGATGATGTGGATAATGAAAATGATGAAAACTGTGAAGATTGTTAAGATGACTGACAGTAGCAAGGATGACAACGAAAAAGGACAAGCAGCAAATAAATCATCAGAGATAGAAATTTTTAATAAATAAAATTTTACCCTCACCCAATTTTCTAATATTACTTATAATGATAAACAAAATTATGAAACCAGAAGGTGGAAAAGGTCTGTTGCCTCCAACAAAAAAGAAATTTGGGCTAAGCTACAAATGTAATCTGATTTTTAACCATTTTTACAATAGTGAATGTTTAATACAATTTTAATAATTAGTATATCTGAAATGATCAATGAAACATTTACACTTGAAAATATAATTTGGATGCATGTACAATGATTGAAATAAAGCATAAATAGATGAATAAATGAATGAATACAGTGTTTGTGTGCGTGCGTGTGCGTGCGTGTATGTATGTATGTGTGAGTGTATGTATGCATGTATGTGTGTGCGTGCGTGCGTGTGTGTGGAATAACATTTGTGAAATTGTTAAATGTATGGCATAGTGTAGTGACCTTTGGTTTAAGAACATCATCATCATCATCTTCCCGCATCATCTTCCATCATCATCATCATCATCAAACATATAACATAATATAATAAAATAATAAATATGACGATAATAATAACATTAAATATAGTGATTATTACCTACCTGTCATTCAACCTGTAAGAATCTATGTGCTCCAACAGATCAAAGACAACTTCTAATGAAGACTTTAAACCTGATGGTGATGGTGAAGAAGATGATGAGGAAGATGAAGATGATGACGAAGACGATGAAGATGCAGACGAAGATGATGAAGACGATGAAGATGATGAGGTCAGAGATGATGGCAATGATGATTTAACCACAATTTGCTGTATGTACGAGACTGGTGCATCAAAGTACTGATCGTAAGAAAAGAAAAAAAATTATTAGATGAATAAATAATTTAATTAATTAATTTATTTATTATTTATTAGCTAAAATATAATAAAAAATCAATTTAAGAAAACTCAGGGTTAACACACAGTAAATCATCTCTTCATTATAATTTTTAATTGTTTTATGCCAAATTTAAGCCTTTAACACCTAAACCCTAACTTGATCATTTTTTTGAGTCAGGTAATGATTTATTTAAACTTGAGATAGAATCTGCTTAAAATCCACTTTTAAAACAATAAAAATCTACAGTGGGAGGAGCTTAATGGCTTAAGTTAGCGTTTCTTTAAAAAATATGCATGTGTCAGATAGTTTGTTTCTTTATGTGTAGTAGTTTTCCTGAATAGAGTAACAAAATTTTACTAAATACATTGACAAACACAAACCCATCTTGGTACATCAGGGTCAATGAGATTTGCAGAGCTATTAAAGTGGACATTGAAGTGGGATCGAGACAGAGGCACCTGGTGGCCGTGAAAAGGTGTGGTGTAGTACTGAGCAGGGTTCGCTGGGAATGGCAGGTCTGAGAATGGGTAACTGTGGAAAATATTATAGAACATACTTTAACTACAGATAAACAAACATAGATATGGTAGATAAACATACTTTAATAACTTAATCATAACAACTGGAGTAACTTAACAACATAGAATAGACATGATTAAACATACTTTAATAACATAATGTTAATCATAACAACTAGTAAGAGTAACAAAACAACACACTAGATATTAAAATACAGATTAGTACAGAAATATACTAACTTACTAAGTAACTTATTTAAAATTTTATATTTATAATATTATTTGCTAATAAAATAGAATACACAATAAACAAACATAGACTACACTACTACGGGCTCACTAACCAAACAAATAGGAAAGCAATGATGACACCACAGATGTAGATAGCTGGGTACGTAGAACAAGTCAAACCATGCTTGTAAAATAGCAGTGAGATCAAGTCCTGATACTTTTTGAAACTCAACATAACTTCTCTTTCTTTCAACTTTTTATAATTTTATTCCATTTCCATATTTTCCATGTATTCTTCTTAGTTGTGTCATGTGTGTTGCTGTTGTGTTTCTAGCTTTATTTTATTATATATTTATAATATTAAATATATGCTAGGTTTTTTAGCAATTAGTCAGTGTGGATTAAATTTTTCATTATATCATAATATAATCATACCATTGATTTGGTGATTAATTAGAATGGGTCTTTATTCGACATTAACAAGTATTTATTTTATTATTAATATTTAATTTAATAATAAATTAAATTATTAAATTAAATTAATTTTATTATCAATAAAATAATGATAAATGTAATCTAATAAATTAATATTAAATTAAAAAACACCCACCATACAAATAACTAACTAATTATTTAACAATTAATGAAATATTGATCGAAAATTATTCTTTTTTTACAGTTTGTAATAAATTAGACACAGAACAACCTGTATTTTCGTTAACTTTGTACCTGCAACAAAATAATTGCAAACAAAAGAACAATAAGTTTTGTTTTTTAATATCTCTTGTTGGTTCTTTACATACTTAAACTTCCTTTTATCAAATTTATAAATTGTAATCATAAATACTTAATAAATAGATTACAAAATAGATTACAATATTACTATTTTTAATAATTATATTTTGTAACTTTTATTCAATAAACATTTTTAAACGTTCTTTTATGATAATGTAGTAGTTTAAGACGCCCTGTTCTGCGTTTCATTCAGTGACTGGGTTTGAATACAATGAGATTTCCACTTAATACACACAAATTACTCAGTCATGATGCGTGAAATTACGCGTATTTGTATGCGCTGCTTTTGTGATGGTGAAGTTTCTGAGCAATGCAATAAGACAGATTAACTATTACAATTTTCACACTGTTGAATTAAACACACCGAAAAATCCACTCTTACACGTTTAAGCATCCAGCCAGCCAACCAACCAACTAATCAACCAACCAACTAACCACTCAACCAACCAACCAATCAATCAACCAACTAATCCAACCAATCAACCGTCGACATGGAAGATTACGTTTTATGAAGCCAAAAATTAAGCCGTAAAGTTCAGTAGTAATCAAAATAAACAATTAGTACATAAAATCACTTAAGATTCTGCTTCTTTCAATGTGAAAGGTTGGAATGCAAGCTGGCGGAGAATAAATATGATGTCGAATGAAATTTTTTCATTGTTGGTTGTTTAGGAGATGTAGTAGTACTAGCAGTTGCACCAGTATTAGTAGCAGTAGCAAGACATATACACACAGACACACACGCACACGAACAATAAGTAATACTGATACATAAAATGTATGTCGACCGGTCGGCTAGTTTTTAGGCATGTCCAACGTGTACGTACACGTTTTGAAAAAAAGGGATTGTCACTAATTTTTCTTTCTACCGCAGTAGGTTCAAAAGTGCGCACAACTCGAACGGTATTGAACTGTCTCACTACAATCGCAAATCACAATCACAATTATAATTGTTGGAACGTTAAATTTTAATTTATGTCAAATATTAGTTTATTCGTTTAGTGTTTTCAATGCATTAAAAGTTGCATCAAAAGACTGAAAAATCTTGGCTGTTTCATTTTAATTTATCTTCTGGTTACGTCAGTTTAGTTAGTTGCGTTTTGTTTTCGTTCATCTGGAACGTCAATCAGTTGGTCATGAACGACACCGCAGCCGATAATCGCCATAGTCGAGCCGCAACGACCCCAGCTGATCAACAGAGGTAATTTAAAATTATATATAACTTTCAAGTCATATTAATTAAATATATTTTATATATATATATAATTATATATGAATGTAATGTAGATATCTAATTCAAACTATTGGCTGGCTGGCATGCCAATAGTGTACAACTGTACATTGAAACGTTCGCTAAAAAGGAATGGTCATTAATTTCTTTACTCGCATATGAATTAGAAATGTGCTAATTTTACTTTACATGAAAATGTATCACTTGGTAATAAAAATTCCAACGTTTTTTATGTGTAGTATCTTGAATCAACCAAATAATTGCAAACTAGATAGTTCATATTTCTGTCGTTACCTGCCTGGTTAGGCTCTATGTTTTGATGTATTAATATTTGGTGGAAGGCTTTAAAACCATTTTAATGTTAGCCAAATGTTTTTTTTGAGGTTGTCTAGTTATGTTTTTATACGTTAAAAAACCATTAATAAACTAAAACTATCAATATACTAACTGGCAGAAATGTATCCGAATTGTGGCTGGAAAATTGCTTTCTAGTTCATTCCGACTCTGGTGTAGCTTTCAACAAATCAGTGATGCGTCACGGCTGCAGAAAACATTTCTGAAGTTGAGTTGTTTTTTACGTTCGCCCACTCATTTATCAATACACATATATACGTCCACATACGCACACATATACCATACACACAAACAAACACAACATAACACACAATCAAACACAACATTACACACAAACAACACACACACACATACACACACACACATGCATAACATTCATATGTTCTGTGTTTTTGTCATGTTTGTTTTCTACTTTCTTCTACTTTTCTTCTCTTCTGGACTGACGCCAAGAGTAAGTTGAGTTTAATTGAAAATAAGTAAGTTAGGGCCTAAGATGAGTTGAGCTAATTATTTTGGGTAAGCTAGGGCTTAAGCGTTAATTTATGGTAGGTAGGGGACTTCGATTCTTGCTACTTCTCATTTATTGATTGTTATGTGTTAGTTTTTGTTTCACATCATCATCACACACTAACAAAACAATCAAACACACAGCAAACACAACATTACACACAACAAATACACACAGCAAACATTACACCCAGCAAACATTACACATAACATTACACACACACAAACACAACATTACACACACACAAACACAGCATTACACACACACACAAACACAACATTACAACACAATCAAACACAACATTACAACACAATCAAACACAACATTACACACAACATTACACACAATTGTTTAATTTTTCATTTTCATCATTCATTTTAGTGTTAATAACACTCTGAAAATTACATTTCTTCCAAACACGCCCTATCCGATTTTTGGGAGATGAGACTGTTGCAAGAGTCAGACCAGATGGTGGGTGAACACAACAACACAACTAATCCTCTGCCGTTCTGAAGATGGTGCTGCTGCTCGAGTTACTGATGGCTACATCTCAAATGTTAGAATTGTTAACTAATTTTTTTTTCATTTTCAATATTAAATCCAGAAATTATTTTTTATTTGTTGTATTAAATTCAGAAATTATTTTTTTCATCGTTTAAGATGGTAAATTCAGAAATTTTTTTTCTAGCAGGTCTTATGGTCTCATGGTCATCGCCGAATGATGATCGGTGTGCAATGGAATGGAGGAGGTTGGATGGCAGTGGAGAAGATTTCCGAGGTTTGTTGGGACACACACACACACACACACACACACACACACACACACACACACACATTTAGAAAAGTTACGTCTTAACATTAAATTTTTGAAATAAAAAAACCCTTATTCATTTTACATATTTATGTAAAACAATAATTTACATCGTTTTGTGTGTATGGTGTGAGGTGGAAGTCTTTGCCCCGGTTGGCCCGCCGAACGTTTCCTCAAAAAATAAGACATTATAATATTATTTTACTTGCGTATGAGTTAAATTAAAAGTTTAAAACGTGCTAATATGTGTATTAATTTAGAAGTCTTTGAATAATGTTGCACCACAAAATATGATCGATTTGTTTACTAATGATAGAGCAAAGTTGTCAAAATATGAACTGAGGTCTGTTGATTCAAATTTTTTGTGTGTTCCAAAGACAAACCTCAAGATTAGATCTCAAAGCTTTGCTCTGGTCGGACCACGATTGCGGAATAGCCTTCCGAACACTTTGCGCAGTGGTGATTTTGCTCCAAGTCAATTTAAGAGACAGCTGAAAACCTATCCGTTCAGCCTTTAATAGCATTTAATATGTTGAAGCGCCTGTGACAATTGTTTTTTTAAACGGGCGCTGTATAAATGCAATGAATAATAATAATAAAAAATATATTTTAAAAGCTCTGGCAGTAATAATAATAGTAATTTTAGCGGCAGTAGTAGTAGTAGTAGCAGCAGTAGTAGTAGCAGCAGTAGTAGAAGCAGCAGTAGTAGTAGCAGCAGTAACGAAAGTAGTAGTAACAGTAATAGTAGTAATAGTTGTAGTAGTGGTGGTAGTAATGGTAGTTGTTTTATTTTAGTAGTACAAGCAGTATTTAATGCATAAAATGTATGACGGCTCGATGGCTGGCTAGCCGAACGTGTACAACTTTTAAAAAAATAGGATGAGCCTTTCTTGCTATGTGTTATAACGCGCTGATACATTTACTTTAGTAAATGTAGTAGTAGTAGCAGTAGTAGTAGTAGCTGCTGCAGCAGTTTTATTAATAATAGTAGCAGTTATAAAAGTGACAAAGGCAACATCAGTAGTGGCAGGATTGTTGATCGACGTTGATGATATTAATTTCGATATGTATCACAACTCGGTTTTACATTTATAACGTGAATTAAATGAAATTTTGGCATAACTTGGCACGCATACACGAAATAACTAACTTTCATTTGCGTTATGAATTAAAAAAATATTTTTGTGCAGGCGTGTCCTTCAAATTACGGGCATGTCTCAGAAGATGGTTGGTGATCAATGCGTCTCAGATGGTGGCAGGACATACATACACACACACACATACATACACACACACATACCTACACACACATACATACACACATACACACAGCCCGCACGCATTACTACAATACACACTCACAATACATTCATTTGTTTTGTGTTGTTGTCATGTTTGTCTTCTACCTTCTTGAAACTTTTCCTCTCTACCGGGCTGACGACGCCATGAGTTTGAGTGTAGTTGAATATAGGTAAGCTAGGTCCTAAGATGAGTTAATTGATCATAAGTAGGTAAGATTTGAGATGAGCTAATTGTTATTAAAGGTAGGCTAAGGCATAAGAGTTAATTTACTGTAGGTAGGTAGGTATATGTAGGTGACTTCTATTCTTTATAATTTTCACTTACTGATTGTTGTGTGTTTTTGTTTTTGTTTTACGTCACCATTACACACACCAAACATTACACACACCAAACATTACACCCACAAAACATTACATTACATTACACAAACCAATCATTACAATACATCACACACAGTCAGAGCACATTACACTCAATATTGTTTTACAATTGTTAATTAATAAAATTTTAAATGATATTTTTTCTAACACCACGACATGCCGGTGATGATGTTGGTTCACGAGTGATCCTTTTCCGTTCGGAAGATGATGCTGTTGCGTGCAGAGTCGGTCAGATGTACGTCTCAAACGTTGGAATTGTTAGATTTTTTTCTCCTTTGCAATATTAATTTCAAAAATTATTATTTTTTATTAGAGTTATTAAAATAAAAATTATTTTTATAGCAGGTGTAACATTCAGTTTGGGAGCTAGTCGAGTGGTTTCATTTTCCTCCGTAATGGCTTCAGATTGTGGTCGGTGCGTCACTCGGAAGGGGGCTGGGGCGATGGAGATTGCATGGCAGTTGGGATGATTCTGAAGTTTAGTTGACCCACTCATATATACCATAACGTTATATAGAGTTGCGCGGTTATGTAGAGTTATTTAAAGTTGCGCGGTTATATGGAGTTATATAGAGTTGCGCGGTTATATAGAGTTGCGCGGTTATATAGAGTTATATAGAATTATATAGAGTTTTGCGGCTATATGGAGTTGTATAGAGTTATATAGAATATATAAAGTTATATAGAGTTTTACGGTTATATAGTGTTATGTAGAGTTATATAGAGTTGCGCAGTTATATAGAGTTATATAGAGTTGCGCGGTTATATAAAGTTATATAGCGTTATATAGAATTATATAGAATTATATAGTTATATAGAGTTATATTGAGTTGCGCGGTTATATAGATTTGCATTGTATCTAAATATAATGCTGACTCTTTGTATATTTTGTTTGTGTATACTGAATGTTGGTTGGTTGCAAATGAATCAGATGTCATTTCTTTATTAATTGAAGGTTGATTATTATTAGAGTTTTTATTCATTCATTCAATCATTCATTCATTCAGGGTGGCATACGAAAGCGTGTAGAGCTGTTGGTTATGGGAGTTCAAAAATGGCCGTTATGTAAGCAATAAAACGTTTACTCTCGCGCTACAGTTGTTCTTTCAGTGGCAATGAACGCAAGCCTGTCTGAGATGTGCTGCAGTGCATCCGGCGTCGGCTTTGCTAGAGGTGTTGAGGGGTTAGACACGAACGCTACTGATACGTCAAACGAAGCAGCGGTGGGCAGGACTAACTTGTCGCTGACGGTGGCTGACATGTTCCGTTACTTTCTTCTTCTTTTTCTTCTTCTTCTTTTTCTTCTTCTTCTTCTTCTCCTTTTTCTTCTTCTTCTTCTTCTTCTTCTTCTTCTTCTTATTATTATTATTATTATTATTATTAGTAGTATTATTTCTTTTTTTTATTGTTATGATGATGATAATGATAATTTATCGGAGTCATATTTTATTTTTTATTCTTCTTCTTATTATTCTGATGATGATGATAATGAATCAGAATCCTACTTATTTTGATTTATTTTTTTTCTTATTCTTTTTCTTCTTCTTCTTTTTCATCTTTTGGTGATGATGAAAATGGTTAGCAATACTCACTAAAATTGCTATGAAAACCAGAATCTGAGTCAGCTTTTGTTTATTCTACTTCGTTTCGAATGTGACAAACTCGTTGCTGATGGTTGCATTCCTGTCTAGAAAACGCGCTCTTCTCGGCGCTTCCTAACACACGATGTTGGGTGTTATACATGAACGAAGGGGCATGTCTACAGGACATTTTGGTGGCAGCTCAGATGGTGGTCGGTGCAATGAACTGCAGTAACGACGAATTTCTAGGTATGGTTTAATTTCGTTTGTTTTCGTTTAATCATTCATTCATTCATTCATTCATTTTTTCACTCAATCCTTTTAATCGTTCTTCCATCTATTTATTTTTCATTCACTCATTCGTTTCTTTGTTCATTCGTTCAAACAATCAATCGTTCGTTTATATCGATGATATTAGTCTGGATTTAAAAATCATTTCTAGCCAAGAATTTGAATTAAAAAAATTTAAAATTATAAATTTAATTTAAAAAAATTTGAGTTAAGAGTTTAGGACTTTAGCCGATCTTGTAGGAAATGAAATGTTTTTTTTTACTAAGAGTTTGATACGTGTGTGTGTGTTGTGTGTGTTGTATGATATGAAATCTGTAAAAATTTAATGATAGAAACAATGTAAGTGTAACGATTGGTAAGTTCGTTATTAAGTTTTACGAATCGTTAAAAAAGCATTTTGAAACCTTATTGAATTCTCCCCCCCCATTAGAAAGTAAATGCTCAGCTTCTTTGGAAAAATAAAATTAATAAATGACTGTCACAAATCGACCAACCCCCCTAAAAATAAGCATGCTACAAAACTTACCCCTTCCCCTCCTGTTAGTGAAGAGTCATTAAGCAATGTAATTGTTCTATGCATTTTATTTTTATTGGTATCAAAATAACGAATGATGAGTTTATATGACGATTGTTTGATATCTAAATGCTTTACCGTAGTTAAATTATAAAGAATTAATAATTAACATTAACATCTACACAGCGGTAAACTTTAACGATGGCATTTAAATTTGACTCTTCCTTTAATTAATATTCATGAGCTATTTGCTTGCTTGAAAACTTTAATATTCATTTTGCGCATATATATGACAAAAAATTTATTTATTGTTTTGTTTATTTAAAAAAGTGACGTCACACTTGCGTTTACCCCACCTCCTCCACTTTGTCACAAAGTATCACAAATATTTGGACCCCCTCTCTGCCTTGAAGCGTGACATTCTTTATGGACGGCCTCTTTCCTAGAGTTACTTCAATAATTTCTAAAATCTACAATGCTTTCTTTGTTGAAAGCACTGCTTAACCCCGCATCATCATCTCACACTCGTCGTTGGAAAAATTATCGTCAGAAATTTATGCGAAACTACTCCAGGTTACCAGCCATTGAAGAAGAAGATGGGAGTGTTGATGTGAAAAACCGGATGAATTTTGGAAATGATGTCAGTGAACATGTGAACGACGATGATGAAGATGATAATACTGACGATGATAGTGACGATGACGATCGTGATCATGCAGATAAAACTACCAGAAATGCAAAGCTGACCATGCTGACACGAATTGAAAATCAACAAATTAAGAAAAGTTGATTTGTCGGAATAATGCCGGATGATTTTACTGTTTATGATTTTTTTCACCATTTTAATCATTTAAACGTTTATAATAAAATTTTTGTAAATGTTTTAACGTTTAATAATAAAATTTTATTTATAGTTTAATAAAAAAAAATTAAAGAAAAACTTTTAAAAAGTTTTTTCTTTGAAGTTAAAAGATTGAAATAATCATAAACTCCATAGATCAAATATAACAATCAACCAATCTACCAGCCTGCCATCTACCACAAAACATACCAGTGGAAAACATACCAGTGGTGAAGTAATCAACATCAACAATTGCTTCATAAAACAATCAACATCAACAATTGCCTTATAAAACACAATTAATCAACATTAACAATTGCCTCATAAAACACAATTAATCAATATCAACAATTGCCACAAAATATATTTAATCAACATCAACAATTGCCTCATAAAATAAAAATTAGTAATGATTTGTTCTATTCTTTGCCTTAATGTAAAAACAAATTAACAAAGATTATGCACTCAACCTTCCTACATGTGCGAATGAATTCCATCGTTCAAGCCTATTTTGTATATTATATTATATTATATTATATTATATTATATTATATTATATTATATTATATTACATTATTTATATATATATATATATATATAAAGAGAAAGAAATATATAATAAAAAGATTGTTGCATTAACTTTTTCACTTGTCGGGGTAATTATAAAGTAATTAAATTTCAAAAAAGCTTCGAAAAACTAAATAAATGTTACTAAATAATTGTTGGCGTCCTTCTTGCAACCTGCCACTTTTCATTAGTTAGATGAAAGCTTCATATTTTATACTTATAAAGATATGATAAATGAATTATGTTTCATCGATTCACTCAATTTTTCCTAAAATAATCCAATACAATTAAAATTGAAAGGTTCTGTCATCACAGTCACCGCAATTTTTTCAACACTGCCTGGAGTCACATGTCTCGGGAACTTGGCCCTAGGCAGACCTGCAACAAGCAGTTCCACTCTTGGATCGAACGTGCCATGTGATCCAGACAAATTAGTCGACGGAGATGCAAATCCTACGTTAACAGCGGGACACTGTTTCCACTCAAACGATCCTGCTGGTGGTCCGAACTGGGCAGTTGTCGACCTGGTCAGTGATTATTACGTCGATGTTGTCAACCTCTTCTCCAGAGACTGCAACGGTGAGCTGTGACGGAAGGAAGATTGTTAGCACGTGTGCGCTTGCATTTTGAGGGTGTATGCTTCTTAAGTTATTCTTAAGCATCATCAAGTACGTTTGCTTATTAATACCTAAAGATTGTTATTACAGGTTCATTCAATTTTTTTACTATTTTCTTTGTTGTTAATGCAATATCCAAAATTCGGTTAACTATCTAAACTCTCATTATAACATTGAAATATTTCAAGTTGCTAGACTGGATAATTTTATAATCGGCCTCACTTCCGTGAACTATTTCCCGAATGGATCAGAAGTAGTGAGAGGTTCCTACCCACTGTGTGGTCAGTACAAGTACAAGGCAGTGGTTAGTAGCAAGTTAACATTGAAATGTTACGCCAACTTGCCATCGTATCGCTACGTTATTGCGCAACAACCTATTAGTGGCACTGGTTGGTTCACAATTTGTGAGTTGGAAGTTTACGCTGCTAAGAACCCAAACGGTAAGTTTTTATATTTTATAAAAGAGACTACAGGTATAAAAAATCATATTATTTTGTTCAAGCAAAAATTTGGAAACGTTACTCAAACACTCGTTTGACTGGCTATACTTCCCGCGTAATGACCGCTGTAGGCAAGATGAGATGTCTGATTGGATGTCTGCCAGGCCAGTGTGATTCGATTAACTTCAGCGGAACAGTTTGCGAACTGAACACTCATCTGCGTGGCTACAACAGAAGTTATTTGAAGGTGAACACCAGCCCTGGCTGGAGTTTCTACGAGGTTCAATATGTTTGAGGATGAGGCTATGTGCTGGAGTACGTTGAACAGGTTGCGTCCCACATAGATCTTTTCAAACATTTCAACGTAGATGACATTTCATTCTTTTCATGAAATGTTAACATTCAAACATTTAAACAATGTTTAATAATTTTTTATTAGAATAAATTTTTAAACGAAATCAATCTATATATTTTTATGAACTAGCAATGAACGAAAAATAGACGAACGTACACACGCACTAGAGTAAGTGGGTATTGACAAAAGAAAAAAAATAAAAAACAATAAGCATCAATGACTTTCTCTCACAACTGCTGGGAAGGAAGGACTTCTGCGGTTTAATTGAATGACGACACGCTACTAACTGCTCAGAAATTGCCGTTGTAACATTAACAATTGAAGAAACAGTCTTTAAAATTGATATAAAAATACAATGGAAGCCGAGAAATGATTTTTTAAATGTTAACTTTGGTCTATATATCGAATAAAGTTTTTAAAAACAAAGCTTTATCTATAGGTAGACATATAAATGTTCGAAATAATGAATGTTTCTGAAACTTTCCAAACATTAAACATTCCTTACTTAGAGCCGGTTTTTGGCTTACGCTTCCTCCTCTGCAGAAACATTTTTTTAAAATTCTATAAAATTGAAAACAAATTTATCATTATTTTTAGCAGTCGTTTGTAAAGTTTATTCTATCTGTTGACTCATCCTTTTATTTAAATTGCATAGATTTATTCTAAATAACATCATTTATTTTTAACACAGTTTAAACTGAGTGAATCCTTGAATCAATCCAACCCAGAAGTTTCCATATCCAAGAAATATTTTAATTTCAAGATTTTTTTAATTTGACGATTAAATAAATTAAAGTAATTAAAACGATGCTTTACACTTTGGTTATAAATTCAAATTATTTTTTTTATTAAAAGTTCATACAACTTAGCAATAGAAATTAACAATAAAATTATTAAACTACTGCAATTTGTTGTCTTTTTGTATTGAAATGCAGTGAAATTTGAAACAAAAGTAATAGAGGGAATTGTTATACCGTAATTATCACAAATTTTACAACAAAGTGTCTTATGTTTATATGCGTGTTTGTGCGTGTGTGTGTGTGCGTGTGTGTGTGCGTGTCATGACTTGAAACAAGTTTTAATATTAAGAAAAGCTGGAAATATTTTTCTTGATTAATTGTTAAAAAATTTCATCAACAGATACATCACACACACACACACACACACGAACGCACACACAAATCGTCTTGCATATTTTATATTCTCACACACACAGAACAGCAATTGCACCTGCATAAAAAAACCAGACTAACAGAACGATCAATTGATCGTCACAAGATATGTTAACCCACTAGTACAGTTATAATTAGCGTTCCCGAACACACAAACACATGCCCAAGGTATTCGCTAGAAGTTAATGTCATTGCATATAAAGAGACACACAAATAGAAACAAATTTATTTTTTCAGCAGTATCCACACTTTTCTGTCAAACGATTTTAATTTGGTAAACTATCAATAAAGATGAGCGTCAGTTAATAACTCACACACGCACACACAAAATTACACACACACGCACTCACACACACACACGCTGTTCACTTAGGTACGCATGAGTCTACGCAGCTCTGGTTTTTCGCAAAACACAGCCCAATATAATGGCCATCCCACCAACAACGAGGCTCATGGTGGCGTTTGGGCTAACCAGTGGTGGTTCAGTTGTGTTGTTGGTAGTGGTAATGGTGGTGGTGTGGTTAGAAGTGGTAATTGGTTGAAGCGTTGTTGTTGCTGTTGTTGGGGTCGAAGTTGTTGTAGCACTTGGTCCAGCAGTCGACGTCTCAAATTTAGAAAAAAAGAACAAATAATATAATGAAATAAAAAATAAATTTTTGCAACAAAATTAAGTAACCTCATCTTTTGATGTTCTATTGAAGAAGTTGCACACGTTTTCACTGCAACTACATTCCCCAAAGGTGGTGAGATTGTTGCAGTTTGTTGGCGACACCAAATACGGTGTGCAGGTGAAATAATATTCGTTCTCACGATCTTGAAATCAAGTATTTCCATTTTTAACGCTTGAGAAAAAATTTTTTCAAAAAGAACAAATTTTAAGATATGGTGAAAAAACATTGCCAGTGAAATTTACCTCAATACGTGATTGAGCAGAAAATGTCAGAAGAGCCACAAGTCATCATCCCCACCATCAAGACAATCTCAGTAGTTATCATTTCATACATTATGAGGCCATCGAAAACTTCATTGGTTATATTGTCGCAAATTTATATAATCCAATCTCGTGAAAACTAAATCTGTCTCTTTTTTTTACACATTTTGTATTAATGCCTATATATTAATATATATATATATACATACATACACAAACACATATATATATAGTTTTGAAATTTAATAATAGCAAGAACGAGCAGTTTGATAAATTTATTTGAATTTGTAGTGACAGTGAAATTATAGAGAAGAAAAAATATTCCCTACAAAGGGAATTATTAATTATTGTTGAAAAAATTGTCACAAAATGTTAATATTTTTATTACTGAATGTACTAATCAAAATTTGTGCTCTATTATTTGAAAATTCAAACTCGTAGATTGATTGAGACACGCAGATTGGTACCTACCATATACAGGGTATTGATACAAGTTTAGTCTTATGAAACTTTTCGTACACCGAATATTCATATCTGGAAGATGGAAAACTATAATCAATAACTAGCAACATATTTAGTCACAGTGGTTCGACAGAGAGTTGAACTTTGTATTAAACATATATTCATATGTTTAATTGTTTATTAGTTAACTTTTGTAGCAGACATAAAAGGATAGCTAGTCTTGAACATTTTTTAAAATAATAATTATAATGACCCACTTAAGTATGATGATCAGCAGTCTGGTCAACAAACTTAAACTATATATAAATAAACCAACAAACTATAGCAAGAAGCAGGATGAAAAAATCTTCAAGAATGTTACCTATTCCATTTTAATGTATAAACTTTATATGGATAGCATAGCATCATACTCAAACCTGAAAAGTTAGATAAAGTAACCAATACAACACCCAACACTATTTTATATAGTGTTGGGTGTTGTATTGCTTAGATTAGGGATGTGCGGTTCAACAATATTCCCCTACCAGATCATCAGCGCAAGCTGTTGATCGATGCTAATCAAGATATCGAGATGGGAGGTGAACTGTTCTTCCCGATCTTGTGGTTCTCCGGGGTGATGGAATGTTGGTGTCGATGGATTGATTTGGGTGTGCTTGTGTCGACGTAGATATTAGTATGTTGTCAATGTATGCGTGGACAAAAGGTAGCCCTCTCAAAAACTATCGATGAACCTTTGAAAAGTCTGTGCGGCATTTCTCAGCCCGAACGGCATCTTCACAAATTCAAACAGACCGAACGGTGTTGTTACCGCAGTTTTTTGGATATCTTCTTCTGCTACCGGTATCTGGTGGTAAGCCCGTACGAGATCTAGCCTCGTAAACCATCGCACCTGTTCCAGGCTGTGAGCGATATCATGGATGTGTGGAACTGGATATCGATCAGGTGTGGTCCTGTTGTTGAGTGCGCGGTAATCTCCACAAGGCCTCCAATCTCCTGATGACTTTGCAACCATATGAAGTAGTGATGCCCAAGGACTGTTTGATGGTCTTATGATTCCGAGTTGACACATGTATTCGAATTCGGCTTTGGCGGCTCGCAACTTCTCTGGGTGCAATCGTCGTGGGGCCATATGATGTGGTGGTCCAGAAGTCACAATGTGGTGTTGTATCTTGTTTTCATTTTTGTTGTTGTTGACAGGCATCGTTAACTTAAGAAATTTGTCAATGATTTTACCAAAGTTGTTGTCCGAAGCAATGTATGGTTTGACGCCAGAGATTATATTGAAGCGTTCAACAACCCCCTGTATCTGTAACGTCGTGATGTTGTCAACAATTTTGTGTCTCCTCATGTCGACTGCAATATCGAAGTGTGACAAGAAGTCGGCACCCAATATTGACTGTGTGACGTTTGCAATGAATTTACGTCGTAAACCGAGGTCAATGGTTACGAGCTGTTGTCCAAATGTGTCGATGGTGGTGCCATTTGCAGCTTTTAGTCAGATTTGGGTCTTCGGAGGTGTTGTCGTGAAGGTATGATACTTACTTGGGCTCCTGGGTCGACCAAAAACCTTGTCTTCGAAATGTTATCGGTGACGTAGAAAAGGTGACACGATTTGTTGAATGTTGATGTGGTGTCTTGTTGTTTTTGCGGCTGTTTGTTGTTGTTTGTCACTACTTTTGTTTGTTGATGTTTGTACATAATGTAGGCGACTAAAAGTGTTGTGGCCAGAGGTTGCCGCCGCCATTAGCAACTGGCCTGGTAGTTTGACGACTTGGCGACTTTTGCTTTGAAGTTGCATGGTCTCGCACACTTTTTTGCTCTGTCCCCATACGTTTTATGGTACCAGCAAACATCTGTCTCCTCACCATCTGCTGCTCTAGATGGGAATTTTGTTTTCGTTTGTTGTTGTTGATGTTTGCGCCTGAATGCAAATACCTCATCTCTCTTAGTCGTTGTCTCTTCGGTACAGCGTTGTGTGTTATGGTGGTAGAACCATTTCGATTGGATATTTGATGCATTCGGTCAGCTATGATTGCTAACCTTTGTAGCGACTCGTCGGTTGAGACTGCTAGATGCATTTGTATTGCGAATGGTAGCTGGTCCAACCACAATTGTTTCAAAATGCTTTCGTCTATATTGTTTGCCCCCCACAGTCTTTGCATGTGCCTCAATAGTTGTGATGGCGTTCTGTCTTCCATGGCCACGCCTCGGAGCAACGTGCGCAAATTTTCTTCGTCAGAAACCGAATACCTCTGCGTTAACACGCGCTTCAGTGAGGTGTAAGTTTGTGCCGACGCCAATTCCGTCTCCACATCTATGATGACATCCATGGGTAGGCTTTCGACCAGCGTGGGGTACCATTCATCGGTAAACAAGTATGAAACCACGCTTCCTGTTGTTTACATAGAATAATATTGAAAACTTTAAATTTGGCTCCGCCCGTCATTAATATTCATGACCAACCGACGCGCTTCATTTTATTGTAATTTTATAGTAAATTATTTAACAAATATATTATCTTATATTTTAAAATGTTTATTAATAATTTAGATGTCAAATAAAATAAGGTCATATATTAAAATATAAATAAAATATATTAAAATAAAATATAAAAAAAAATTAAATTAAATGTAATAATTAAGCTGTGTAATCTTTTATATGAACTTTAATATATAATATTCTTTCCTTTTCCTTTTGCTATTTTCTCTTCTATTCTTCAATTGCATTCATTTATATTTTTCATTAATAAAAATTTATCGCTTATTTACGCTAAAAATGGCTGCATACCCCTCAGTTGAAGGAAAGAAATTTTTAGAACTGATAGATTATATTTTAAAGAAAGAAGATACTGTGAGGTGGGCCAAACAGCATGGTTTGATAGCAGCCACGATGACATGCCGCTGTCTTGCAGACATGAGGTTTGCATACTTTTCATGCTTAAAACGTTTTTTCTCCGTTAACTGCTTTTTGTTATCATTTCATACTACTGCCTTGCATGCTGTACAGTTTTCTCGTTTGTCAGATTTTGATTTTTTTTCAAAAATAATAAAACAAAAGGTTTGCAGAAAGTGCATTAACGGCAGATGGTTACTTGTGGAGGTGTAGAAACTCCAGGTGCCGCGCTACAAAAACAATTAGGCATGGAAGTTTCTACAGCCATAGCCAATTATCCTTAACAAATTGTATTTTGGTAAGATTTTTTTCCATTGTTTATAGAAAAATGTAATTTCTTTAAGAATGATGATGCGAATTGTTTTAAATTCAAACAGATGACGTATTTCTGGTCTATGTACGACGTTAGCCAGGCTACGGTTGCGTCGATTTTAGATTTGGACGTCGGGCATACATTACCAGACTGGTTCAATTTGCATCGAGATCTATGCTTTGACTGGGCTCGTGATAACCCTGCACGAATAGGTGGCCCCGGACACATCGTTCAGATAGATGAAAGCTGCATTTCATCTGCAAAAGATCGAGGAACGGAAATGCACGTCCAGTTAGGACACGCTGGGTTTTTGGAAGCATCGATACGCAAACAAAAGATGCCTTTCTGGTGGAAGTGAATAAACGAGATGCTGCCACGCTGATACAGCGACATGTTCTGCCCTGTTGGTTTTATAAAGTTTAATATTTTTAAATTCATTTTTGTTGGTTATGAAATATAGTTCGATTTCAATAATTTTAGGTACAACAGTTTGGACGGATCAATGGGCTGCTTATAACAGTATAACAGCCGTAACCGGTCTAGCCCACTAAACAGTAAATCACTCCATTACATTCCGGGCTGTAGACGGAGTGCATACAAATGGAGTGGAGAATTTGTGGCGATGCGCCAAACAAAAATTTATGAGAATGAATGGTACGTGCGATGCTCACGTACAATCATATCTTGACGAATTTATGTGGATGCGCACCATAGGAGAAAGAAAAAAGCGATTCCAAAAAGCCCTGGAACTTATACGACATTATTATGCAGTTTAAAATTTTGAAACTTTTTTGAATTTTTTTATTAACTAACGATAATTATTAGACGATACTTTTGTTTCCTTATTTATATGAAAATATAATGTCCAAATTAAATTACAAATAGTTCTCATGTTTATAACATATTTTAAAAATAATAAATAAATAATGATATTAGAATTTTATAAAAAATTACAAATATAAAAAAATGAAACGATTCGGTTAAAAAAATCACAAATTGAAAAAAAAATAAAGCGCTTCGGCTGGTCATGAATATTAATGAAAGCCAAATTTAAAGTTTTCAATATTATTCTATGTAAACAAAAGGAAGCGTGGTTTCATACTTGTTTACCCCATTTATCTTCTGAGAAACCTCGGCCCTTAAGCACATTTTCAAAATATGTGAACCACGCTTTGGGGTTCGCCGTGCAGAATGTGTTTAATTGAAGTGGGGCTCTCGTCGCTGTTCTCTTTGTCGTGGTTTCGCAAGCCATCGCGTTCGGGGTCACCAATTTGTTGCGAGTTTCCATAGATATAAGAAACAACAAGTAAGAATGTTTATAACGTATTTATTTACGTAATACAAAATAAACGAAAACGTGTTCGGCAATGCAGTTAGACAAAGAGAAGTTCGATCGTAAAATGTCGCAAGAAGAAAGGCTGTTGTCTTTGTGTTGAAGCTATATATAGTAAGTCGTCACATGCTTAGATTAGGGATGTGCGGTTCAACAACACCCAACACTAATTTTTTTCCGGTTTTCTGCAGTCTTACGCGTTTTAGCACTTATAGGCTATGATCACGCCTTTGGTCTTTGTTGTGAATCTTTTGAAAAGCAGGACAACTAGATATTGTTGAAAACGTTTATTTCCTTAATGGCTTACTATTAATATTAGGCTTATATTAATATTAGGCTTACTATGATTTCATTTTTAATAATTGAATGTAAATCTTCTGGACTAAAAGAAATAGAAAAAAACATCCTGAAAGAGGAAGTCCTTTAGTATAATACTTTCAATACATGTTATGATCTAACTTGAGTAATCGTATGTATTTGATTATGGGTATATCTTTAGTATTAGATTATTTATAAATGATAGATATTCTATTTATATGAGTATGGGTATTAGGTAATAATTAATTAATTATTAATTAATTAATTAATTAATATAGATTTTATTAGTTGTTCGATATAATTAGAATAAATATAACGGCCTTCACTCATTTTTGACGGTCGAACAAGGAGCTTACTTCTGGAGGGAAATTTGGGGGGTGATTTTTTATCGCCCAAGTCAAAAGTTACGATCGTATATTTACTAATTTCGGAATATTGCTTTTATTTAAAATTTCAAATTGTTTTAAAAGGTGATACTAGATGCTGTTTTAGGATAGATATTGCTGTATGACGGTTAAGTATCTTTTTGCATTTTAAATAAAAAAATTTTTTGTGAACCACCAACAACACTTAACTCATTAACTGTAACTAACTAAACTCTAATAATTAAGCTAAAACTAAACTCTACTGATTCTAATTACTAATTGAAATAAATAACAGATAACACTAACGAACATTAACAGATTAGACTACTAGAAACTACAAACCACTACACTACTACATACTACTAACTACCTAACGACTAGCAGCACTTGTTCCTAAGATCCTAAATTCTATTGCTTGATTGGTTTTAAAATTTTTATTTACAATGCTTAGGTCTGGGAATAAAAATAAAATAAACACTTTTGTAATTTGTTCAATTCAAGCTTCAAACTCCCAAGCTAACTTGCAATTTAATTAAAATTTATTAATTATGAGTGATTCAAACTAAATTTTTCTTCATTTAATGTTTTACAAAATATTCCTCATTCTTAAATTGTAGTACATGTTGTTATTAAATTTATTAAAGATAATGTGTGATTCCAGTGATTCATCATCCATGACTTGTTAGATCATGATCATTCAGTTTTAAAGAATCCCCATCACCATAACCAATGAGGTTTGTAAAAATTGTACTTTTAATTTATTATATTTTATGCACTTAAAATGTTGTGTTATTAATTATTATCATTAATTTATTAAATGCTGTGCATACCTATGGCAAGTAAATAAAATAATTAAGCATGGAAATAGCCACAATCAAATTAATTTATATAGGCATGAGTATAATTTGGATAATAATAATTAAAAATATCGGTATCATTGAAAATGGATAAAGTCATAAATAAAAAAATAAATCATAAATTGCTCAAAATAATAGTTCCAGTAACATTTTGCCTTACACCTACATCTTTTTTCATTCTTATATTATAATAAATGTTTGTTATCAAATATATCAAAGATTGATTTCTCAATCCATGACTAGATTGAATGTCATGATCCTACAGTTCCAGAGGATCCCCATCACCATTAGTCAATAAGGTTTGTAGAAATCACCCCAGGCATACCATCAATGTTTTGTAGCCACCTCTTAATGTAGTGTTAATAAAATGACATTGAGAATAGTTACTTAAAACAATCTTATTAAAATTATTGAACAGGTATGACAAGATTACTTTCTTAATGTTTTAGTGTGAGGAAGATGTAAGCCATTTGTCCAAAGATAATCATATGCCTTATGCCCATACAAATGCAGTGTCAACGCGAATGATTTTTGATCAGAGTCATATGTTCTAATTTTTTTAAACTTTTCCAGAAATTTTTCTGTTAATTTATTTGTTACATTAAATACTTGATGTGTATTTCATATAAAAACTTGATTATGCCAATTTAGTTAACTTGTTAAGCATTAATATAAAATTGACTCTACTTGTAATGGTGATTGGTATGATGATGATGATCCCAGTCCTAAGCAGGGTATATTATTCACAATGTCATTATGCCCTTTCTAAGTTTTAATAAAATACATGGAATATTGTTGAATGCATTTTATATTTTTTGTATAGATAAGAATGTTGCAATGTACAATGATGATGTGAATTGCTTCCTTTTGTAACTGATGACATATAAATATAACTAACTTGAAAACATGGGAATGCTTCCCTCAGCATTACCTTCCTTTCTCCATCATAACCCTTATAATCTTTATTACAGAAATGGTCACTGCATATTCTTGCATTTTTTGATGGAAGCCATTTGAAATCATTTATTTCCTGTCTGATGCACTTAATCCAATCGTTTTGCATTTTTATATTTTAAGGAAATCTGAAATTTTATAAACTGTTACAGAAACTTGTGCATTTCTTAAGTATTGCTTTTAATAATAAAATGGTAATCCATGATAGCATTATAGATTATAATAGTCTATAAAATAAAATATATGTAATTATAAAACAAAATAGTTCTATTCAATGAGTATAGGGATATTGTTACATTTATTTTAGTGTGAAGTTAATTTGAAAATAAACCTGTGAAAAGATGCATCAGAAATTTTCTCATTTCTATTTATTAATAATGCAATTTTTAATGCATTTAATGCAACAGGTAGGCATGTTTGTGTATAGCTACGAAAATGAAAATTTACTTAAAAACTAAATTATTGTATCTGACACGAAAATTAGTACAGAATCAAAAACGAAAAAATAAATGACAATATAAAAATTTAAACATTGATTGAAAGAGTTTATTCTAATTATATGGTATGGGCAATTCGTTGCGAAATCGTTGGAGGAAATGGTGTCAACAGTAGTTATTTTACTGCATGGTAGTTAATCAGCCGGTATGAAGGTTATATTCAATTCCTATCAAATAAATTTGACAAAATATCATACACAGGCAGAACTAAATAAGGAAATAGATAGATATATACACGTAGTTATAATACATTTATAATGTTGTATTTACACATTCAAATTGTACAATTGTGTTATGGTGTAATCTCAAATTATTTTGAATTCTCTCAGAAAATTTTAAACGTTTTACTACACTATATATGATAGTTATTTTTATCAACAATTTAAAAATTTTATCAATAATTAAAAAAAAAATTTCAAATTGATTTCATTGCGATATCGATAATGATTTTTGTGACCTGACTGATTAAAAAGCATCAAAGAAAGTTAAAATAGGAGGGAGAATTTGTTATATTGGCTACAACAGAAGTTATTTGAAGGTGAACACCAGTTTTCCGCTCAGTTTCATTTAAGCATCTTTTCTTTTCATATCAATTCGAAATGATCTACTTCTGTTTTCCTTTTCTTTTCCCATCCATGCGAGTTTCCATGATGACTTTGGATAGATTTGATTTGCTTTTTAGCACGTGTTTAATTCAATTTTTTTGCCATTTTTTATCATTTTTTATGGTGCTTATAAGTTATAACCATACTCATAATCATAACCATAATCATTTCATCCACTTCAGAATTATTTGTTTGTGCGACGTTCAGTTCAACTTGTTCCCTCCATTCTTTTCCAAACCCACACTTCAAAGACTTCAAATTGTTTTGGTGTTTTGAAAGAAAAAACATTAACAACACCAATTTTGTTTTTAAAATATGTTTTTAAAAAACTTGTTACATTTCACATCGTTAAGAAAATTCTTGTTATTTATGCGAGTTGTCAGCCTCCAAGATATATATATATATATATAAATATATATAAATGTGTTA